AAGTTCGGCCCTGTCATCGAAGACTAGACTGTGTCTTGTTAATCTATTTATATAGGGCCAACCAGTAAAAATAAACCCACGCTACCAGCACGAGCAAAGCTAGTATGTGTTATAAATCCTCGTGATCCCAACAGCGGAAGGGTACCAGGCACGGGTAAGCCCTTTTACGAGTGCACCGAGTGTTCAGCACTCGGTTGGAAGAAAAAAAGGGATGCAATACAAGCACTCCCAGTCGTGCAAATCGGCAGCAATAAGCCGTCACGTAAAACCTCCCGATAGTAATCGGCCAAAATACACAGTCTCTTGGCCTTGCCGGATGAACCCTCGCTACAGAGCTTCGAGTTCACCGACAGGCATAACACACTCAAACAAGCTTGACCTGACGCTTACCTTGAAGCCGGACGTCGCTCTGTGTGCTTGAGTGGAAATTCTGTTCTGTATTTAAGCTTACCCTTTCGGGTCTATTCCCAATAAGAAATTTTAATCAAGTATACAAATACCAAGTGAACAATGATCCGTTATGGATATTCTTGCATGCCAAGCGTCGTCTGCACCGTCGCATGAGCATCTTTAACGGCCCGCGCCCTGTCCCAGACGGTGTACGTGTCTTCCAAGGGTCGCTGAGCCTTCCGCGAACTCATCCCAACCACCGCCGAGGGTTCGTACCGTAGATGGTCAGTTCTTGGCCGCTGATTGCGAATCCGGCCAGTACATTTTTAATAATAAAGACAGCCTGGATTCAGTGGCATATGGACCGTATCCAATGTTCGTTGAGAGTTCGGTACCGATGCCGTCGAGTCTCTTGAACCTTGGCGTCACTGTACATCACATGACCGAGGGTTCGTCGCTTGAATAACTTGGGCGGTGTCGCGTCTTTGTCGACGGGCGATTATCCGCAACTATAGAGAAATCCCTACACCACACCGGGTTTGACGCGTTCCATGTACAACCACGCCCGGCTCCCAATCTCAAAAAGAGATCTCGGTGGGACTCTTGTAGGATCTTCCATCTCTTCCGAAGCTTCTGGAGGGTCTACCGAGTGTTCGTTTCCACTTGGTTGAGATACAGCGGCTTTTTCCAGTCGACTCAGGGCATCATTATGCTTTTTAGCCCTTCGCTCCTTTTCTACAGCCTGATAATCTTTGGCCATAGTGAGGGCGACCTCATGTTGTCGATTGATCTCGCGTCGCCACGCCAGTGCGTCAGACTGCTTGCCGAGCCCTCGTTTGAGTGATGACGACATTGCCCGCAACGTCGACTGCGCATCCCAACCGTGAACGAGGTAGAACGGTGTTTCTTTTCTCGTGGTGTCCTGAGAAGTATTAATAGCGAACACCAACTTCTCGGCGATTTCGTCCCAGTCTTGCTGTAGAGGAAGGATCTTCCGCGTACACTCGTACGGAGCCCATCACCGACTTCACCGCGCGTTCCTGCTGTCCATTAGCCTGTGGCCGATAGCTCAAAGTCGCTCATGACCTCGACTGCATCATCTCCGCCGATGCTTGGAGCACTTCGCTCATGAAGCGTGGGTCACGGTCGTGCCCTATCAATGATGGGGCTCCGAACCGTCGGTACACACATTCTTCGAACAAGTGAGCTACACTTAGCGCCGTTGTATCCAACACAGCTTTGGAGATAACGAATCCCGTGAACGAGCACTGGAATAGGAGCAACGCCGTGTTGCTTCGGCGAAATTTCGGTAGTGGGATCATAAAATCCATCGAGACGATCTGGAAAGGTCGTTCGGCTAGTACGCTGCCAGGCGAGTATCCACGAAGCTGCGGACGGCTTTTACTCGAGCTGCAATCCGGACATGACTTCACATGCTTCTTCACATCAGCGTACAAGCCGATCCAATAATAATCGGACTTAACGCGGTGGAACGTTCTCACCACACCTTGATGTCCTCCTTCCAGCGAGTCGTGACAGTTCTGCAAGACCTCTTGAATCATCGTTGTCGGTACCACAAGCCGCAGCTTGGTCTCCTCTTGCCAACCGTGGTCGTACCGACGATTCAATCCAAGATAGTGAAGCACGCCGTCTTCTGATAACACGAACCGGTCAGCATACCTCCAGGCATCTCGAGCTTCTTTGTAACTCAGCTCTTCTGCTTGGCCCTGAAGCACCTTCTTGATGTTAAACCACTTCTGCTCCTCGTCTTGTGCCACCAGTATCCGTCTGCGTCGTTCCCGCTGTATCGCTACCGGATCAACATCTTCCGCATCGAGAAATGCCGATGGTACAGTCTTGTGAGGATGGTCTGTCAAATCTTCGCCGAATGAATCTTCGGTGGACGTCTCTCGTCGTTCTTCATGCTGTTCTTGAGCTTTTGAGACATCCTCCGAGTGTTCATCTGCAAACCTGACGCGTTTCTTGGCTTTCGTCTGTCGCCGAGTCATCACTGCCATATTACCATAATCGCACTTTGGTGAGCTGTAATCAACCACGGAATTTTCGAAAGTTTTCCACTTTGAAGATTCGCTGCCTGACAGTACATGTACTTGACGCTCTGCTCCACGTGACGAAACATCTACCGAGTCTTCATCCGGCTCGTCGATCATTTCCTGGATGCGATTCAGCGATGCCAATTCCGACTTGCGAGTTTCAGCCAAGATTACCCGACTGACCTTCGATTCCAGCGCTTCAGTGGCTAACGAATCCGCGGCAGCGTTGTATTCTCGTACAACTTGAAGATATTTAACTGATCGAAGCTTGGCCGTGAGTTCCTTGTGAGTATTCAGCAGCGCTAGCAAAGTTTCCTTCCTGCATGCGATCACCCCTAGTGATTGTTGAATCGCGAGTCTTGAGTCACCAGCGATGACTAAATCCTCGGCACCGTGCGCAATAGCAGCCTTGACACCGTTTATCATACCTGTGTACTCTGCCTCATTCACCGTGGTGGCCGAGAGGTAAGCGTTTGCAGCAATCACTACCTTCCACTCAGGAAGGCTCCACAGCACCCATGAACAACTCCCGTAGCCACCGTACTTCTCTGTCTTCGCTGATCCGTCAAAAGACATGACGAATCCGCTGTAATTACGGGAAAGCTTGGCGTACAGCAACGCGGGGTCCATTCGAATAGTCGGGGGACCCTTGTGTGGAGGTGCCACCGGCGCGAGCGAGTCTTCCAGGTCGACGAAGCTCGTGATGCTTGACTGCAGTAGCTGCGCGAAGGCGACATCCTTCTCCTTCACGCGCTGCACCTTACTGCGATAGCAGCACTGCGAACCGTCGTTCATTCGTCTCGAGTTGCTCTTGGAGCCGTCGAAGCCGTGGTACCCCATTGAAAACTTGTCGTTCGCACCTCGGACATCTGACTGGCTTTCCGAAGTTCCGGCTCTCGACGCTCGTCAGCCCTGGCGTACTGGATGGATGAATGCAGCGCATCAGCACCCATACAACACCACGTACTTCCCGTGCCAGCGTAATCCGGAGCTCTTCAATCCTCGTGGTACGCGTTTCGTGAATGTGTACCGAAGCGTGATCGTTGACCCGTCTCTCGATTCAACCGAACTTATTCCGACCTGGCGTTAGTTGTTTGACTCGCCACCGGGTACTCCACGTCCCGCTCTGGCTGCTGCTCCTGTTGAAGCTGGTACTGAGGATTCGCAGGGTCCGGCTTCATCTCCAGCTGCCGAGGCTCCAATTCCTGATGAAGAGGAGAAGGAGAGTGGTGACTCAACCTCGTTGGCACTCTTGGCCACCGCGGCCAGGCAATTGGAATCGCTTTGAATCCTCGCTGCATGCTCCCTGACGTTTTCCAGCATCTCAGCTAACTGTTGAGGTGTCCCGCGTGACTTCGTTTTCAGTGATCGCTCCGCGGTCGTCATTCATGTTTTCTTATTCTTAATCCACTTCCACAGCGTAATCATGTTCATGTTGTTCTTCAAATGCATATACAATTTGTTGTTGCAGTAACGTTTTCCGTCTGTTACCACACGCTGCATCGCCCTGTGGACAGTTCACATGTGATCCAGTCACGCTAGTCTTCGTCCGCCTTTTTTACTTGCGCCATCTGCAGCCGATTCTCGCTCTTCTTGGCTCGCAAATAGTCGTACAGCAGACCTCCACATGCCAAGTTGGATGCTGGTTCCCAAGTTGGATCTTCATAGCCCACCCACTTGACTTTGAACTCGCGTACAGCACGCTCCGTGCTCGTCTACAGGGGTGTTCTGTCGTCGAGGATGGCTTCGACTTCATATTCACCGGCAACTT